TCAGAGTGATTGTGAAATAGAGGGGGATATTATCAGCAGAATTTAAGTTGGATGGTTGAAGTGGAAGAATGCATCGGGCTTGTTGTGTGACGGAAAAGTTCCGCTCAAACTTAAGAGAAATTTCTATAAGATGGTGATGAGACCTACAATCCTTTATGGTGTCGAATGTAGGCTATTAAAAGAGAAGTATAATACTAAGTTAAGTGTTGCAGAGATGAGGATGCTCAGGTGGATAAGTGACTTTACTCTTAGAAATATGATATGAAAAGAGCATATTCATGAAAAGGTTGGAGTAGCTCCAGTGGAAGATAAGATTAGAGAGAGTTTCCTTATATGGTTTAATCACATCAAACGGAAGCCTTCCGATGACCCAATTAAGAAAGTAAAGGTATTATATTTGACTTATATTAAGAAATGTAGAGGTAGGCTTAAAAAGACTTGGTTAGAGAATATTAGAAACGATCTTTTCTTATTAGATTTAAATAATAATTTGACTTTTAACAAGACACAATGGAGAAAAAAGATTCATATAGCGAACCCCACGTAGTGGGACAAAGGCTTGATATTGTTGTTGTTGTAGGAGATCAAATATGGGGTGATAAGGGAGACTTATTTTGAAGAAGTACGCTTATATATCTTGATCCTTTAGGAGGGAGAGTACTTTGGCAACTATCTTGGTGCAATCATTTTGATATCAAATCCTGATTTGTCATCTTCCACTTTCTAAAGTGAAAGATGAGGTGGAGATTGTTGATTATTATTGATTTGTAAGTCTTTCCAAATTCAAATAAAGCTTTGATTTAAAAAGTTTTGATAACTAATTAACGTATTATTTCGGTATGATTATTGCTTTGATTACGGGATTTGATTGGAGATTTGATTGATGCTTATAATAGGAAGTTTTCCTTATTTATGTTTGTCTCAAATCTAGAAATAGGGGGCATGGGGAATGTTTTATGCAAGAAAGGGAGAAAGCGGACCAATTGTAATCCCTATTTATTTTTCCACAATAGTGAAATCATCCCCTCCTTGTGAACATAGGCATCTTCGTTGAACCACATAAATCGTTTTGTTCTTTGTATTGATTGTGTTTTTATTTTATTTTTATTTATGTTGTATTACACAACATTGCTATCATATAATCTAGTTTAAGCCAAGTTGTTGAATTTGTCCTTTTGTTGGGTAGCCTAACATACTCCACCTATCGATAACTCATAGATTTCATTAACAACGAAGTAAAAACGTAAAACAGGATATTACAATTCTATGTCCAGTCCCATAAGACCATAACCTACTTCGCTCTTGTTCGCCTCTCTGTTCTTTCCTTCTCATTTGTCGATGCACGGAATTTCGTTATTTGCGAACTGGACTCGATGAGCTGGTAAAGGAAGTCATTATTATACTTTGGCATCACTTCCCCTTCTCATATTTCCTTCAAATCATAGGATGTAAGTTTTTGTAATCCTAATTTTTTAGGGCTTTTCTGGTTTCTTTGTTTAAATGTTTGTGAACGAAGTTTAAATCAATTTTTTTACTTATGCTTTTGATCTTCCTGAAATTCAATTTTTTGAATTTGAGGTATGCTTTTAACATTTCATTATTTCTTGTCTTACCTTGCATTTTTTAAGTGTTTGTATCCGTTATTTGATCAACTTTCAAGAATAAAATAACTTTCAAGTATTTGTTGAATAGTCAAACTCATTTTTAACCAACTTAGCTAATATACGTGATGAAGATGAACCTTGTGAGGATGAAGAAGCATTTGGAATGCAATTTTTTTGGTGGAGGGTTTGAGAATCCATTATTTGATTGCACAAATTTAGTGGATGATTATTAAATTCACTTGTAGTGTTTTGAGTTTGAGTTTTTTATGTAAACTGATATAAACAATTATTACTTTTTTATATCTATGGTATTAATTTTTGACTTTATTATCTCTATGAGTTTTGAATTTTTCTTATCAATTAGTATAAAGTGTCGTAATTTTGCCTTAAATTTTGAAGAGGAATGTTATATGTTATCTATTTTATATATTTTTTATGGTTTATTTTGTCACATGTCTTAATTTGTTTTCTTTTGTTCATTTCATTTTTTAATAGTTTCTCATGCTATAAAAAGAGAACTGAAGATGATATGCATTCATCAACAGTACCCAAAACGCAATAGAGCTCGATAAAAAGTATGGATTTCTCCCCTAATGCAATGTTGTTTGGTCATCCTATGCAGGAATTGGGAGCCGAGGGATGGCCAAACCACCTCGTGTGGGAACCTGGAGCCACAAGGTGTGTCGTTTGGTGAGTTATTTACTTATTTATTAAATATTTGTTTATGTTTTATAGATTTACTTGATGTCACGTTTATATTATGTGTTATTTGTTTATGTTTTATAAACTTAGTTGATGTCATATTTATGTGTTTTGATTTATTTGATATGAAAATGGAATGTAGAGTGATTGAATTAGAGAAAAAAATCTCATTCATTTTATAATGTTTAATAATGTTATTATTTATTGCGTCATCTGGTTCGACCGGTCGAACCATGAATCTCTCTTTCTTCAAAACCTTCTGAATTACACACTATGTTAGTGATATTAATACATATAACCACTACAAATTACGCGATATATACTTAGAATATTTTATATCAAATGAAACGTGCAAATTTCTTTAACTTACTAGAAATCATAATTAGCTTGCCAAAACATAGATTATTCTTAAGATATAGGTCTATAAAGTTATATACAAAAATATAATACACTACTAGTCTCATTTTGCATATTAATTACAACTTGCCAATAAATAATAATTCCACTATATAGGCTAGGCTGCACTTCATTTTATACTAATTCAGGACAAAAAATAACTATGAAGACCACTAATATTAAATCAGCCATCCTCATCCACATTATAATATAGCAAAGCAAAACTTCAAATTTTCATTAATAAAATATGAAAGCATTATAAATTAAGATGAAGATTATATCATGCAAATACAATACATCATTATACTGTGAAATATGACATAAAACAAAAACTTGCATACATCATTAATTGTAGGTACGTAAATGTTACTAACCTCAATTATACTAATGCAATTTCAATATAATCTATGATTTAACTTCAAAATTAACTTCACATATCCTTCCTTTTGCCTTCTTCCTCAATCTTTTTACCCTCCTAACATCTCCATTCATCGACGGTCAGAAGAGAAATAAATATTCGTACTATCCTTTTATAATAATAGTCAAATTATCATGCACATCTTACATGCTACATCAAAATATTTTAGTGCTTGGATTAAAAGTAATTCAAGGTCAACTTTCAACTACTTCAAATCGTAACCATTCAAATAACTTCCTATAGATTGTGAGATAGATAAGGAGAATATATTATACATACTCCTCTCTCTCTCTCTCTCTCTAATTAACTAAAAAAGTCATCACAAATTTTGACACAATAATATTCATGATCAAATATTCATTCTAGAAATATTGAGAATTGACTTCATCAAGATGATTTGAACTTCAAATCTACATTCAAAATTAGTGTCTCAATAGGCACAATATAGCAAACTTTTGAGATCATTATGAATTGTCCTAATTTATGAACAAAAAGATAAAAATGTCCCTACGGAAAAATTCTAAATGTTTCATTTTTTTATGCATTCAAGAAAGATTCTATGAGAGAGAGTTTTAGGACTCAAAAGAATTTCAAAATTTTGTTAGGCTGTATTCATCATCGATCATCGTCGATTCCTATTGATGTATATTATTGATCGTCTCAAACATATGCAAATATATTTGCCTTTGATTGCAACAACAACTCGCCGTCGTTACTCACCGGCAAACATGCTCATGCAACTCCACTCGTCGATGTCCACCTCTGACGCTCATCAGTAAGACATCAACCATTGTCGACATGCACCACTGTGATTACCTACTTTTAAATTCAGGTGACATTAGTCACCAACACACACTAACACTCACCGCCTTGTAATTCCTTCTTCTTTGGTGATAACCTAGGAAGGGTATACCAATATACCATTATAATTTGCTAGTTAGTTACAAAGTTTTCACAAATATTTCAATTGAGTGACACCCTCAATAATTTTCACCTTTCATCATTTCTCACGTTAAAAATATAGTACCTCTTATAAGCTAATTTTATGTGCAAACAACACTACAAAATTATTAGATCCAAAAAAACTGCATGAAACACTCAGTTATATGAACTACACAATCACATAGTTCCAAGCGATTGAATGTCCACACATCCAACATCCGCACTAAAAATTATTATGTGCGGTGTCCGGATGCATCCGGAAGACAACCCGGATGCGCCACGTCACTACAAAATTATTAGATCCAAATAGCTGCATGAAACACTCAGTTATATGACTACACAACCACGTAGTTCCAAGCGATTAAATGTCCACACATCCAACATCCACACTAAAAACTATTACGTGCGGTGTCCGGATGCGTCCGAAAGACAATCCGGACGCGTCACGTCACCTAATACACAGTGTATTATGTATTGTGGCGCATCCGGATTGGCCTCTGGACGCGTCTGGACTCCACACGTAATAATCTCTCCATCCGCACAGAATAATTTCTCCCACATTAATATATAAATTCACCTTTTACCGCCCCCTAATATTCTAATCCTAAAAATAAACATTTTTTTTTTCTCAAGTCAGAGCCGGCAAAAAAATTTTAAATTTACCTTTGCATGCGTATTAGCCGTAGTAAAGCCAAATAAAAAACCCAACTTTTTTTAACACCCGAACAGCAAATAACTTCAGTCCAATAATAAACTTTCCCATTAATCCTCATTTCTTACATAACCGTAGACCAAATAAACGTTCGTCCCCTTTCCCCCACTCCAGAGAGAAGGACGGTAGGATTTAGATAAACATCCTCACCTAATCCTCGAATCTTTTTTCCCACTTGGACTGCCATAGAAACACAGGTTAGGAAGCGTAGCTCACCACCATTGCTGGTTGATATAAATTTGGAAGGAATTAGTGTATCATCAATGCTTCAAATATAAAATATTTTTTTTGTCCGCTATAAGAAGAAAGCGGGGTAGTATCGAGCGCAAAATATAAGCCAGTTCAATGTCGCGGTTCGTAGACAGGCTTCCCTTCGAGATGAGGTCGAATAATCCCATGGTGGAAGCAGAGGATATGGGAAGAGATGGACTTCTCTTGAGCCACTACACCGGCGGCGGGCGGGGCTCGCAAACGCTCGGCCAACTTCTGAAGCGTGTCGGCGACGCTAGCGACCACCAGGTGTTTGAGCTCGGCGAGCTTAACGGCGATAGTAGCCCTGGGCCTGGCCAGAGCATTCCGTTTGTGCTCGCCTTTACTGATCTTAGTTACAGTGTTAAAATCTCGAACAAGCTGTCCTTTTTCCGCCGGCGGAGGGAAGGTTTCTCGAACACGAAGACACTGTTGGACTCCATTTCTGGTACGTAGGAGATTAACTCTGCGTCCGTTGATCGAATTTTTTGAATTATAGAGAATGATTTGTGATTTACTCACTCAAAATTAAGCATAAATTTAATTCATAAGAAAGAAAGAGGAAAAATTACTCTTAAAGAGTATCTTATATATTTTATAAAAGGATGATTTAACATAATTTTTTATTCAATTTTTTATATTTATTTATATATATACCACTTTTATGTTTTAATTACTTCAAATCATTTTCATGAAAATATGTATATTGGTGACATTTTTTATGAGATTTAAAATTTTAACTGTCACATAAATAAATATTTTTTTTGTCACATAAATAAATATAAAATTATTGTTGTTGCATATATAAATTCATACAAATTTCATGATATAAATCAAAACCCCCCTTTAAAAATCACATTTATTCATAGGATATTATAATTTCAATATAAAAACCCCAATTTTGTAATTTCAAATTTTAATGAACAAACATTTAATAACTATCACTATTTTAAATATGTTCAATAATTATAAATTTAAATATTATTTGCTTGAATGTTATTTAATAATTGCATTTTTGTTTTTTCTCATGTCCTAATTTAAAATAAAAAAAATAAAAAAATTGTCCTAATTTAAAATATTATAATATCAAAATCAAACATATCATATGATAAATTTTAGTTCAATTGTAAAAAATTTCAAACGATCTTAATTACCATTTTTCAGGGGAGGCGAAGGAAGGGGAGATCTTGGCCGTCCTCGGCGCAAGCGGCTCCGGCAAGTCCACGCTCATCGACGCCCTAGCGAACCGAATAGCGAAAGATAGCTTGAGAGGATCCATCACGCTGAACGGCGAGCCACTCGACTCAAAGCTTCTTAAGGTGATTTCGGCCTATGTGATGCAGGACGATCTGCTTTACCCCATGCTCACGGTCGAAGAAACGCTCATGTTCGCCGCCGATTTCCGGCTTCCGCGAACGCTGTCGAGGTCGAAGAAGAAGAGCCGAGTGCAGACGCTGATCGACCAGCTGGGTCTTAGAAGGGCAGCAAAGACGATAATTGGTGATGAGGGGCATAGGGGCGTTTCAGGAGGAGAGCGGCGACGGGTTTCGATCGGTATTGATATTATTCATGATCCCATTATTCTGTTTCTCGACGAGCCGACGTCGGGGCTCGACTCCACCAGCGCGTACATGGTGGTGCAGGTGCTTAAGCGGATTGCGGAAAGCGGGAGTATCGTTATCATGTCGATTCACCAGCCTTCCTACAGGTAAGCTAATTAGGAGATCTAAATTTGTAAAAGATTTATGTTTCGATATTTCTTTAATTTAGGGTTTAGGGTGTCAGAACTGAATTTTTATTGCGTCCTCCCACCTGACCTAGAGCTACATCAGGTAGCCTATAATATGTCGCCGCGTGCATTTACTCTTTACCGCGAGGCCCGACGATCCGACCCGGAACAGACCCGGGAGTTTGCGTAGCTCGGTATTGCTAGGGATTGGTCGATTTTGCTCGACAAAAACGAAAAATACTATTATGTGTCGAGCAATACCGAGCAATACCGAGTTCTTTTAGGTATTACTCGGTATTGCTCTTCACATAGCAGTATTTCTCGTTATTGCCAAGCAATAGCGAGTAATACCTAGCAATACGCGAACATAGTAATCCAGGGTCCGTTCCGGATCGGATCGTCGGGCCGCGCGGTAAATAGTAAGTGCGCGTTGCGACATATTATAGGCTACCTGATGTAGCTCTACGTCAGGTGGGAGGACGCAATAAAAATTCGTCAGAACGGGTCAATAGGTCGGGTTTGAATTTGATCCAAAATTAGCTCAATCCGAATATGATCAACTCGAATCCGAACTGATAACTCATTTTGATTTAAAAAAAACGTATAACTTTTTAACAACAGATTTTAGATTAATAATAAAAAATAAGACAATCATATCAATAAATAAAAATCAATTTAAACATGTCATTTCGAATCAAAATTGTGTTGGGGTGTTAGCTCAAACCTGTCTCATTTTTCAAACGGTAGAATTCCAAATTCGAATCTGACCCGGTCAACATGAACCAAGATTTTTTGGGTCAAGTCAAAATATCTTTGTATAATTTTTTTTGATATATTAAAATTAATTCAAAATATATAAGTGAATAAATTCATTTATGTATAGGTGATTAGTGGTCATATAAACTAATTCATGAGAAATTATTCTATTCGGGCACCAATCGTCCGGAGTTGAATAAAAGCGTGTCACATCACCCGGTATAATACCGACACAAAGCAAAAAAATGATGTGACGCGCTCATTCATTTCTAGACGCAGTCCAATGACCCCACAGAATAATTAATCCTAATTCATACCATTTGACAAAAATAAATAAATAAATATAGAAGAAGGCAATAAAATATGAGTTCTGCTTCACCCCCACGCGTGGAATCGGACACTTGTCTTCCATTCAAGAGGAGCATTATATTAATAAAATAATATCTTAATATTAAATGCATTATTATGCAATATGTTTCTCTAATATCAGTTTAAGTAATTCTTTTTTAATTATAATAAAATTAATAAAAAAATTAATATCATATATAACATTAATTTTAATTAAAATAAAAAAAAGTTCTAACTTTCAAGCATATCTTTATACAATATTTTATTTTCTTTTTCTTTTCGTGCTTGGGCATATTTGACAAAATTCTCCGCTTCACAGAATCCTCGGCCTCCTCGACCGTCTCCTCTTCCTCTCCCGCGGCCAAACCGTCTTCAGCGGCACTCCCGACTTCCTCCCCCTCTACTTCTCCGAATTCGGAAAACCAATCCCTGAAAACGACAACCGAACGGAGTACGCCCTCGACCTTATTCGCGAACTCGAATCCACCCCCGGCGGCACCAAGCCCCTCGTCGACTTCCACCGCTCATGGCAAGCCATCAAGCACCTCAGCAACCACGGAACCCCCAAAAAGGAACTTTACACTCTCTCCCTCAAAGACGCCATAAGCGCTAGCATCTCCCGCGGAAAGCTCGTCTCCGGCGCCACCAATACCTCCACCTCCTCTTCCGCCACCGTCCAGCCCTTCGCCAATCCAGCATGGATAGAAATAATCGTGCTCACCAAACGCGCCGCGACCAACTCTCGCCGCACGCCGGAGCTATTTGGGATCCGGCTTGGGGCCGTTCTCGTCACCGGATTTATACTTGCGACTATTTTCTGGCGGCTCGATAATTCTCCCAAGGGCGTGCAGGTACGACTGAGAGGAGTATTAAATTGTTTAAATTTATTTATTTTATTACTTTTGCGTAGAGAAATTTGATTTATTTATAATTTAGATATTAATATTAGAATTTAAAAAATTGTCTGTAATATTTTCTTAATATTTCTTGATATTCATATTTCTATGATTTATATGGTTTTAAAAATATATAATACATAATATATATAATAGCTTATCAAATAAATGATTTATCGTTAGAAGAGTAATTTATTAAGTTAATCTTAGAGTCACTTTGAGAGATTGTAGATATAAATATTTTTAATAAAATAAAAAATATTAATATTTATTCAACAAGTGAATATAAAATTTTAATTGAAATGCTTTTAGAGTATAAATTCTAGTATTTAATTTTTATTTATATTTATATTTTCTTAAAATAGAATTTACACACATATCATTGATTTTTATATGAAACCCATAAATCTTTATTATTATTTATAAAGCGCTTACATTTTTAAATTCTTAAAAAATATCAATATTATTTAAATATCAATATTATTTTTTTAAAATAAAAGATATATTTTTATTCATATATTTTAATATAATTTAGATATTTAAAATAAAATATAAATGAATATTAAATTTTAATTATATATATTATGATTTGTATGAAAATCCTCTAATTTTTTAAAAATATATGTTATAAAATCAAAATGTGCTTTTATTGTGAAACAAATAAATTTATTTATTTTATTTGTGGCTTAAAAAAAAAACCTGTACGTATTTTTGCTTATTCATAAGTATGCTATGTCCGTCAGGAACGAATGGGCTTCTTTGCCATAGCCATGTCGACAATGTTCTACACTTGCGCCGACGCGCTACCCGTCTTCCTTCAAGAACGTTACATCTTCATGCGCGAAACAGCCTACAACGCCTACCGCCGCTCCTCCTACGTCCTCTCCAACGCCATTGTCAGCCTCCCATCCCTCGTCCTTCTCTCCGCCGCTTTCGCCGCCACTACCTTCTTCGCCGTCGGCCTCGCCGGCGGCACCTCAGGCTTCATCTTCTTCTTCCTCATCGTCCTCGCCTCCTTCTGGGCCGGCAGCGGCTTCGTCACCTTTCTCTCCGGCATCGTCTCCAACGTCATGCTCGGCTACACCATCGTCGTCGCCATTCTCGCCTACTTCCTTCTCTTCAGCGGCTTCTTCATAACGCGGGACAGAATTCCTCATTATTGGATCTGGTTTCACTACCTCTCGCTGGTGAAATACCCCTACGAAGCGGTGCTTCAGAACGAGTTCGACGATCCACGAAAATGCTTTGTTAAAGGCGTGCAGATGTTCGATAACACGCCGCTGGGTTCGTTGCCGGAGTTTCTGAAGTTGAATGTTTTGAAGGCGATGAGCAATTCGCTTGGGGTGAGCTTGACTAGCCAGACTTGTATTACGACGGGTACAGATATATTGAAACAGCAAGGCGTGACTGATATTAGTAAATGGGGATGCTTTTGGGTTACTGTCGCCTGGGGATTCTTGTTCAGAATGATCTTCTACTTTGCGTTGTTGGCTGGGAGCAAGAACAAGAGAAATTAGACGACGAGGGATCGATAGTACTGCAGGGAGAGAAGAACGTACGTGTATTCAGACTGATATATATACATATAGATATATATATAGAAATTGAGAGACATGTGAAATAAGTAAGCTACGTTAATTAACTGTTCAAAGCTTCTTCTTTTTTGGCTTCTGTTGGAATTTATCATAAACTTCTTGATAAAAAATGTATCCTTTCATAGTTTCATTGAACTTCGAAAAGAAAAAAGAAAGTTTCAGAAGGGAAAAAGTGTTGATGATCAGTTAGTTAAAGCTGGCTTTGTAAAGGAGCTGCAGTTGTGAAGGGAGATCGAACCGCGGAAGTATTGAAAGATGGAAGGATCTGTTAAGATAGTAAAGAGCTGTTATAACTAACATGTGATTATTAAGGAAAGACAGAGGCTTCGCTTAAATTGTAGTAACTGATTGATTACAATAGGTCGTAAGATAGTAAAGAGTTCCTAGCTCGATCTTAGCATGTAATTATATCAGTTATTGTATTGCATTGTCGTCCCTATTTGAATGAAAAATATTTACTTGACTCAATTCTTCCTTCTTCTTTTTTATGTGTAATGTGAGTGTTAGTTTGTCTTTAAAAGACCTAAATGACTAAACAAAAATTTTTGAAGTTTATTTTTTCTAAGTCAGAGTATGTTCGGCTCTTATTTAGCTTGAATTTTAAAGTCCAAACAAATTAATATATAATCGGCCCCCTCAAACTCACTCCTTTGCACATCTGGAAAGAAGTGTTGGGCAACTTGGAAAGGCAGCAGCAGAAGCAAGATTATAACGCAAATTGAAGTATTTTGAAGACGAGCAAAAATTGGAGGAGGATTAATTTTTTACGTTGGGCTTATTTGTTTTTTATTATGTCATCATGTGAGATTTATGTTTCCCTTGGGATTTTAAATGGATTTGATTCATTTCTTGAAAAAAAAAAAGAAAATGTTTCCCTTGGGATAGCTTTCTTATTACTTTGCTTTTAGACTTTAACAATAATTTAAATTTGACAAATATTTTTCTTTACTTCCAAAAAAATTTTGTACTTTGAAGTTATTTTCTCCAATAGTTTTACAAAGTTATTTTTTCTATAGCAGTTTTATAAAATAGTAAGAAAACTTTCCCAAATGAAACCTTATACTTTATTTCGGTTAGCTTTCTTACTATTTTTTAATTAATTTTAGTACAATTTTTTTTTTAATTAGAATTTTATTTTTTTAATTGATTTAGAAAGCAATAAGAAAGCTACAACAACAACAACAACAATATCAAGCCTTTGTTCCACTATGTGGGGTTGGCTACATGAATCCTTTTTCGCAATTTTAATTTTTAAAGGATTCATGTCATGATTATTCGACAAGTTTTACGCTGGCAGCTGACTACCTAACGTAACCCTCCACCACTTTTCTCATCTGGGACTTGAGACATGGTAACAGCAGTGTTAAAGCCATAAGAAAGCTATCTCAATAAAATAAAATAAAAAGTGTTAGGATTTTTTTAATAAAAAAGCAATCTCAAAAAAATCTTAAAAAAATTATATCAATTAAAATTTTGATTATATTTATTTAGAAATAAATCTAATGAATTTTAAATCTATATAGATAAAATTTGAATTAGAATATCCTATTTCAAAATTATTTCCAAATCTAAATGTTATATTAAAATTGTCAATTATTTTTGCCGTTTTTCAGCTCTTCACACTTCTCATAAATAAGTAAAATTCACGTTGACCAAATTGAAGTGTGTCATACTTTGGATGGAAGATTTTTTTATATATAAAAAAAATAAATGCAGTAGATTCTATGGCTAATAGGAAAAAAAAAAAAAAGTTAGGATAGCTTAATGCAAAATATATCTAGATGAACTTCAAAATTTTCAAATTTGTTCTGAGATTAGTGCTATAATATCATTAATCTCATAACAAATTTAAAAATATTCAAGTTAATTTGATGCAAAATATATTTCAATATCAAGAAATAATTTTTTCTATGGTTAACTATTTAATATTCGAGTAATCGTTCTCACATCCACAAAACACAATTTAAACTACAATGACTAAAAGCATGCCATGCAAAAGTTGACTTTTCCATATAAGAAGGTAATAAGTTATCGTCATATATTTTTTTTCATAATATACATCTTAAGAAGAGATGTCCTCGCCATTATCATGACAATTAAAGGATAAAGATTTAAATTTTAGATATCTAATTTATTTTGGGCGATTTGAATTGATATTTTTTTATAACATTTGAACTATTAAGATAAATTCACAAACACATCACATATATAAGATTGAAATTTGAAATTCAAGACTTTTTGATTAATAGTCAAAACCCCTAAGGAACAAACTAAGGTGAGCTGCGATTTGAATTCTTATGCTAATTATCATAGCAATTGCAAAAGTCTACTAATTAATTAATCCAACTTAATTCTTAATGAAGAAATTGACTTAAGTGGGTGAAATTAAGATCACTCTTAATATTTTTATGATTAACAATGTTTTTTAAAATGATTAAAAAGTAGAGAAATATTAGAATAAATTTTTGCTTTTCAGACCTTGAATACAATTCTATTTGGTTACTGATTTCTTTCCATTTTCTCTTTGCTTTTCAGAAATTTTAATGGTGTGAAACTGCTTTTTACAATCGCAATTGTTAATGCACGGTAGCTTCGTTAAAACAATTATTCAATTTCTTAAAAAAGAAAATATTTATGATATTCACGTAGTTTAAAAAAAACTTACTTTTGCTCACAACAACTTCACATCCATCTTTATAAAAGGTTACAATCATCTCAAACAGACCATAAGGCTTCATTTGGGACAGCTTTCTTATTGTTTATAAATCAGTTTTTTAGAATAAATTTTTTTGCTAAAAAAAATTTATACTAAAAGCTACTTTAAAAAACAGTACAAAAACTATCTCAAACGAACCATAAGGCTTTGTTTACTCGAAAGTTACTTTAAGAAGCAACACGAAATCCATCCCAAATGAAGCCTAATTCTTCGTTTGGGACGGCTTTCTTATTGCTTCTTTCTTAAACCGGTTTTTTAGTTAAAAATTTAAAAATTTTATATTAAAAAGCTACTTTAAGATGCAGTAAGAAAACCGTTTCAAATAAGCCAAGTGTCATAATAGTACTCACTAAATAAGCAAAAAATATATATTAGCAGCAAGTCAAATGCAAAATCTCATAAATAATTAAAATTCACGTTGACCAAAATAAAGTGTGTCATACATTGGATGGAAGATTTTTTTTTATTAAAAAAAATAATAATAAAAGTAGTAGATTCTATGGCTAATAGAAAAAAAAAAAAAAGGGTTAGGATAGCTTAATGCAAAATATATCTAGATGAACTTCAAAATTTTCAAATTTGTTCTTAGATTAGTGTTATACTATATTGTAAATCTCATAATAAATTTAAAATTTTTGAAGTTAATTTGATGCAAAAATATATTTCAATATCAAGAAATAATTTTTTATATGATTAACTGTTTAATATTCGAGTAATCCTTCTCACATCCACAAAACACAATTTAAACTATTATGACTAAAAGCATGCCAATATGCCATGCAAAAGTTGACTTTGCCATATAAGAAGGTAACAATTTATCATCATATTTTTTTTATAATATACATATTAAGAAGATAGGTCCTTGATATTATCATGACAATTAAAGGATAAAGTATCACATTTTAGATATCTAATTTATTTTGGTTGATTTAAATTGATAATTTTTTTTAACTTCTAAGCTATTGAGGTAATTTTACAAATACATCGTATATATAAGGTTCAAATTTAAGACTTCTTGATTAATAGTCAAAACTCCAAACGAACAGATTAAGGTGAGTTACGATTTGAATAATTATGCTAGTTATAATAGTAATTGCAAAAACCTACCTAATTAATTAATCCAAGTTAATTCTTAAAGATGAAATTGACTTAAGTGGGTGATATTAACATCACCCTTATTGTTTTTATGATTGACATTGTTTTTAAAATTATTAGAGAGTAGATAAGTACATATAAGAGTCTATTTTAGTCAATTTTTTCATTGCTTTGCTTTTCAGACCTCAAACGCAGTTAAGTTTGATTTCTGGTTTCTTTCTATTTTCTCTTTGCTTTTCAGAAATTTTAATGGTGCAAAACTATTTTTTACAACCAGAGTTATTAATGCATGGTAGCTTTGTTAAAATAGTTATTCAATTTCTTAAAAAGAGCATATTTATGATATTCACATTAGTTTTCAAAAAAAATACTTTTCCACTCAACAACTTCACATTCATATTTATAAAAAACTACAGTCATCTCAAACAGACCAAAATGTTTCATTTGGGACAGTTTTCTTATTGCTTTATAATGCAGCTTTTTAGAATAAAATTTTTTGTTCTAAAAAATTTATACTAAAAGCTAATTTAAAAAACAGTACAAAAACTATCTCAAACGAACCATAAGGCTTTGTTTACTCGAAAGCTACTTTAAGAAGCAACAAGAAATCCATCCCAAATGAAGCCTAATTCTTCGTTTGGGACGGCTTTCTTATTGCTTCTTTCTTAAACCGGTTTTTTAGTTAAAAATTTAAAAATTTTGTATTAAAAAGCTACTTTAAGATGTAGTAAGAAAACCGTTCCAAATAAGCCAAGTGTCATAACAGTACTCATTAAATAAGCAAAAAATATATATTAGCAGCAAGTCAAATGCAAAATTAATGCTGATCAACCTCAGATATTTTATAAATAAGCTGTGAAGCTCTGTTTGGTTCACCCAACTGAATACTGTTTTACGTAACGTCCTCAGAGAGAAAATTGATGGATGTGGATGAAACTGATCTCTGCATATGGATTAGAAAATTCTATCTATGGATATTGGTTGGAAACTTTCTATTGGTCTTCTTGTTGGGGTACGTCACATTGGCCAATCACTGAGCTAAGTTTCAGTTAGTTTGTTGGACAACCCCACCTCTGTACAGCGACGGCGGGCGACGATGGGAAATATGGAAGAAAATTGAACTAAGTTAGATAAGATTCGCTGGATGTATTTGTTTAAGTTGGTTGACCTCATTTAATTAGCATTAGATAAGTCATTAGAGTTTTTGTCTTAGCACAATTGTTAAAGCATTTCTATATAAGTGTGACGATTTGTCATCATTTTTTAAATAAAGCACCATAGTATGACAACATTGCAAAATATTTGGAAATGAAAAGCAAGAGGAGAGGGAGAAGTAATTGCCCAACAAAACAAATTACAATTAGCATAATTTAATGAATAATAGTAAGTTGTGATAATAAAATCCAAATAAGCTATATTGATTCTAAAGATATAGGGGGAGTTCATAATCTAGAACCTCGAGAAAATTGTCACTATAGACCAATCAGACATCAAGCATGTAATGAACAATTACAAAAAAATAAAAATAAATAAAAAATAATAATAAAAGTCAAAGTCAAAAGAAGAACCATCAATATAAAGTAAATAGCAACCCATATAGTCCTCATCGTTTAAGATAAGGTTGATTTCATTTATATGTACAAGGTTTCATTTGGGA